GGTTCATATATTGAAGACCTGTCCAATCGTTTGAGTAAGACCGGGCCAGGGACCGTCAACCAGGATGGAATGGAAGCTTCGTCAGTTGATCGTCGAGCAAAACAAAAGAATCGTTCATGAGTAGTAGTGGTTGTAGCAGTACAAAGCAACGAACGAATGGAATGCAGCGCGTCATAAAAGGCAAACTATCACTGCGAAGGTGCCAGGTTTCGCTCATAGATCGAGTGGGATGGTATTCCAAAGGGCTCCATTAAGACGTTCCGCTTGGTTATTAGCTTGTAGGTTGTAGGCAGTTGTGGGACTGGTTGCCACTTCTTTGTCCAGTAGGAACTTGGTAAGCTCTGCAGACACGAATAAACACCCTCGGTCAGAGTGTATGTACGCTGGCATACCAAATACAGCGAACAGTTTGCAGAGACAATTGGTGATAGTTGAAGCAAGAATGTTCGGGCATGCAAAAGGAAGTCTTCTGCATTAATCAACGACAGTTTGTAAGTATCTGTTGCTAGTCGTTGTAGGTGAAGGCCCTTTGAAATCCATACTGAGCCGTTCAAGCAGCTGCATAGTTTTGATGAGTCGGTCTGTGGGTGGCTTGTAGAATCGAGGTTTTAAAGCTGCACATTTGGTGCACTTTCAAATCATACTTGTAACTTCTTCGACTTAGTAAGGTAGGTTTTTACTATGTACGAAATGAACCATTCTGATTACTCCTGGGTGACACATTGAGTTGTGGTGGTCTTACAGCTTCGTGCCGTTCCAATTTGAGGCACACGCGATACGAGAAAATGCGTCTGCAATCTGATTATCTTTACTAGATCTGTACCTTATTTCGTATCGGTATGCATACAATTCCAGTCGCCACCTACGGATTTTGCCCTTCACTTTGCTCGTTTGACCATCAGCGTACATGAAGGCTACGGATCCTTGGTCAGTGGTAAGTTTGAAATGTGTCTCAAAGAGAGTGTCGCCACTTTCTGACAGTTTTCACAATAGCGTATGCCTCTTTCAACAGCTGAATAATATTTCTCACTTCGGGATAAGATGCATGAGAAAATGGTGACTGGGTGATTCTTCTGACTAAGCGAAGCAGTTATAGCTCTCGGATGCCTCTGTTTTAACAACCAATGGAATACTGTAATCAACTGTCACAACCATAGCATTTTCCAAGGCCATTTTAAGCTGTTCGAATACACTTTCTACATGAGGTAGAAACGGGAGATCTGGTTCTTTACGATGTGACTGAGTTTGTCTGAGAAGGAACAGAGCCACTGTGAGCGATAGGCAAGCATACCAACAACGTGACGTTGAGATTTCTAATCATTTGGAGATGGAAGTTGACGCAGAGGTTTCATGCGCTCTGGATCGGGCCTGATTTCGCCCGAGGAGATGAATTTCCTCACAGGCGATGACGGTTTTACCGTCGTTCAAAGTTATGCCGTATTTAGCAACAGCTGCCAAGAACTTCTGGAGGTTTTGATTATGATCGTCCTTAGTTAAACCACACACAGTATCGTCTATATAAGCAAATGTATCACAGAGACCTGTTTTTAGTATCCTGTCAATAGTACCCTGGAAACACGCCGCACCATTAGTGACTCCAAATGGGATACGAGACATTTGGTAAGGGTTACCGCGTGCTTCAAAGGCGGTGTACGGCTTCTCGTGCTCAGCGATCCGGATCTGATGATAGGCATTTTTCAGATCCAATGTGATGCATAAGGCATAGTGAGAAATTGTTTCCATCATTTTGTCAATTCGTGGCAACGGATAAGCATCTAGCAATGTGAAACGGTTGATCCTCTGCATGTAATCAACGACCATCCTTCTTTTATGCTGATATTTTTTGTAACAAGTACCTGTGCTCTCCAAGGAGAGCTTGATGATTCAATGATGCTGTCGTTTAACAATCGCTGTATTTCGGCTTTTATAAAATGTTCCTCATCAAGTGAGTGTCGATGAGACTGTAGCGAACGGTTTGCAGTCAGAAGACAGGTTGGCAAATAGTGGAGGTGATTCGATGTTGACTGCAGTTAGTCCACTAGCGAGAAAGTGCCGCGCCCCCCACCGAATGATATTTCAACTTTATTATGCAAACCAAGAAAGTCATGGCCGAGTAACACATCAGAGCATAGATTACGCAGACCCGAAAGCCGAATGTCATTGTATACAGCGTTTTGGTAACGAATCCGAGCATTGCAATAACCAGTAATGGCGCATGACTGAGAGGTGGACGCCATAGTGTTTTTTGAGTCACAAGGACAGGTTTTCCAGTGGTGAGAGTAAACGACGGATTGAGGCACATAACTATCAGAACTGCCAGTATCAATTAGGGCATGCAGTTCTGTGTTGTTTACGAAAATTCTGATTGTTGGGCGAGACATGCAGGTTGGAGCTGCAGCAGTCAAAACGGAAGACAAAAGTGGATGTAGTGCTAAAGTGATGGATGAAGTGGAGGGTGTGGATTTATACACACGTTAGAAATGCCCCGTTTTCCCGCAGACTTTACAAATGGTATCTTTCCCACTACACTATAAGCAGGGGTGCCTAGTGTATATCATCAAAAATAGTACGTTGGCGTGGGCACCGCTGACACAGTCAGTTCAGCCTCAGCTGAGTTAGTGGAGTGATGATGAGTAAGTGGAACAGAATTTCTCGAGGCACAGGGAATGGTTTCCGTTTGATAAAGCTGTGCTTGTTTCAGAGCAACCTCCAGCGACCTTGCCATATCATAAGCAGTATGAAAGCTCAAGATTGACTGTTCCAGGAGCCTCGTTCGAATGCTGCTTGATTGTAAGCCGGTTATATGGTCATCACGCATGACGTCGCAATATTCCTCAGCTGAGACAGAGCGAAAATTGCAGTCCTTCGCTAAAAGTTTGACGCTTTGGTCGATATTTTCTCCACATCCATGCTTTCACGTAGTTAGAACATCTCGAGCAAAAGCCGCATTTTAGAATGCACATACAGTGACTGAAGAAGCGAACCAGCACTTTCGAAAGTTTTGCATTCAGCGACATGCCAATACACGGAAGGAGATATAAATTTGACGAGCATGCCTAGATTATCCGAGTCATCCGAATGAACTCGCTTTAGGAAGGCGTTGAATGTCCGAAGCCAACACGTCCACTGTTTAGAGGCACCTGGAGCATTCAAATCAGTGTCGAGTTTATCAGCACGAAGATAGCGGTCCACTATGTTGTTAGACCAGTAAATTGATGCGTTAGACGCAGATAGCACAACAGACGGAATTACTGGTGTAACAATGAAGGTGCATCAGCTGAAAGGCAAACTAGTTGATTATGATGTAACGTGTACAAGGGGACAAGTGTATGCATGACAGAGATCTTATGGGATATCTGGTCGCACACTTAAATGGGTGTCTGCTTTCTTGGGAGAGAACAGTGTATACGCGTGGGGCGTACCCATTCGTTTAGGCAAGCTGTGCTTAGTGACCTCTCGCGGGGCTCGGTATTGGGGCTATTGTTATTCTCAATCTATGTAACTGACTTGCCGCGGGAGCTAGAAGTGTCGTCGCTAATGTTCGCTGACGACCAAAAGCTTGTGGTGTTATGGATATCCCTGGGGGTTCTGAAGCAGTTCAGAGTACCTTAGATGGGCTCTGGCATTCGTCTGCCTTATGGTTGATGCTTGTAAATCGGGCCAAGTGCTCTGTTCTCCGAATAGTATCTACTAGTCCTCCCACACGATATGTTGTCGGTGGTTGTGAAATCCCCTGTCGTCACACAGCATGTGGATCTAGGTGTCATCCACTCATCAGCTCTTCACTGGCGAAAAGTGGTAGAAGGCTGCTTATAGGGCGTTCCGTTTGATGTGATTTATCCGCCGCTTCTTCAGAGTCTTAACGTCCATGTTTGTAAGTTTATTCCCTGCATTCGTGCAACCACACTTAGAATAATGCATCCAGGCTGGTTCACCATATCCGCAGCAAAATGTACTTGGAGAGGGTTTTACGCGTGAGTATTACGTTGGTGCAGGGTCTACGGGTACAGACGTATCCCGAACGCCTGCTTATTTTGGGTATGTACTCAATGCACTACCGAAAGATAAGAGGGGACTTGATTCTCACCTGCCATATTTTGACGGTACGTTAAGCCCGAACTTGCTTGGTTGTTTAGTCCCGCTAAATTACCTACTCTTTGCGGTCACCCACTAAAGCTGCACAAGTTGCGGTCTGATCGTCTTAGGGCGGAAACTTGTCTGTCGCGCCGAGTTATAGAGCGCTGGAATTCGTTTCCAGGTCATGTGGTTAAGGGATCTACGGTTAGAGGTTTTGCGAGTCAGCTCGATGATCTATTGTGGCAACACCAAACCTTTACTTTTTCCTGACTCACCTTCAACTTTCAGCACTTTTTAGTTACTCACATGTTAGTATTATACTTGTTTAGCTTCCTATTCTCGCCTTCCGACTTTACCGTTTCTTCTTTCTTACTTCATGTAACCGGCCCAGCATGAATTGCTAGTGCAAAATACGTGTGCAGTAATTGGTTGGACATGGTGTGATGTGGTCTTTGTTTTAGGTCCATCCGTATTCTAAAGTCCTTCGTCAACTTCTGGTTCGATGACCCACTGAAGAAGGAACACTCGCGGTATGATCCTATCGTTTCAGTCCCAATTGGACTTGAAGTTGCGCAAACCACAATCCGATGGGGTTTGGACCAACGTTCGATTGTCACTTAGAGTAGTTGATTCCTAGGATGCGTTACATGAGGACGTGGTATCATCACAGCGAATGAATTTGAACATAGATTCGATGCGCTTGGATTGCAACTTCAACTCCTCCCTTTTACATCCTAAAAATTTACTCTTATTTATCTTAATTTTTATTAACTTTATATATACCATTACTTCCGCCCTTTTGTTACTCAGTATTTTTACTCCTACTTCGCGCGACCGGCGCAGTGGGAACTGCTATTGCAGGCCATGTGGAAATTAATTTCTTGAGCATGGTGTGATTCGCGTGTGTTGCTTTGGCTCTCCTAGATTACTGATATTATCGTCGATAAATACCCTGGATCAACGACGCGCTCACAAAAGAATATATACTGGAATTTCCCACAGTTTACGCCCCGCTTTGACTTTACTGTGATTATCGTGCAACGCTTTAGAGTATGTTCAAGAAGTGAGTTGGCTGCGTTTTCTCTCATATTTCAGGTTTGACGAAAAAGAGGACGTTTCTTGTGTGACTAATGCGAAGAACTCCAGAGCAAAAGTTATTAGAAAACGAATTTGTGAGGACTACGGCGTTCCATCTCAGTTCATTGAGCAAATCCTCCCCAAGAAAGACACTTTCAAAGTTGTCAAATGGTAGTATACATAAGTCCATAAACTTGTTCTCACAGCCACGAACATATTGAACTATTTTCTGATCCACAGGGAGATATATTATTTTTCTCGCAACGTGAGGGGCCATTTATTCCTTCGTTGAAACTACTTCACAAATGTGAGTATTCCTAAATAATACTAGTTTATGTAGTGAGTGGTGTGGACGAGTCCACACGATTTACGTTTATTTTTGCTTGTATATTGTTTACGTCACCAGACTGACAAGTACCTGGGACCGCTGCTGTTTGCAGTCTACATGAATGACTTGCCCGGGGAGGTTAGATTCTAATCACTCTAGAATATAGTTGATATCCTTGTATATCCTGAGGCTCTTTAACGGGATCTGAGTAGACTGGAAGCGGTCTGTCTTGTGGTTGACGTCTATAAATCGGGCAGTGTTCAGCGCTGTGTCGGAGCACCTGGTTCTTCCAATTTTGTGGGATCGATGGGTGTGAAATTCCTCACGTTACTCTTCAGGTTGATCTAGCTATCGTCCATTTTCCGCTCTTCACTCGGGAGACAACTGGAATAAGGCGGTTAGCAAACCACTCTAAATGTTGTGGTTTATCCGACGTTCTTTCGGGACCCCAACTGCTGATATATCTGTGAAACTCCTTGCAGATTTCGTGCGATCTAGAACATTGCATCTAGGCCTGCCCCCATGCCTTGTCCGGGAAAAATGGCACTAGAAAGAGTGCTGCAAGTCAGTACTGGTTGATCGATGGGTTACGAGTGTAAACCTATCCCGAGTGCCTACTTAGTTTCGGTATACACTATCAGGATTAGAGGAGACCTACTCATAACCTGCGGTATTAACTGAAAAGCTTGGCCTGGATTTGTCATAGCTATTTAGTCCTGCTAGATTGTCTGGTCTCCGCGGGCATTGTATCAAGCTGGACAAACCGCGGTCCGATCGGACTAGGGCGGAAACTCGGCTATCACGCCGTCATCAAGCGCTGGAAATCGATTTCAGAAAGTGTTGTCAGGAATTTACGGTTAAAATGCTCGAGCGTCTACTTGGTGGTAACATAAAACCTAACCGACTCCTATCTTCATACTTCGATTCCATTTTCGGTACTTTACCTCACCACTAGTATTTTTCCCTTAACTCACTTTTTTATTCTTTACTTTACTTCTCTTCTTATCTCATGACTGCCTTACAAAACTAGCACAGCAGGGACTGCTATTGCAAGGAACGCTGAGGACGATGGTGGGTGCTACTTCAGGCGCTGACTGCAGATATAATGCAGCTATGGCGAACTGACTTCGACCGTCCCTTGAACAACCGTTCAAAGATTGGTTGGACCGTATTGCACGAGCTTCAATAGCAAGAGTTGAAGATGTGTCTTGTCGACACACCGAAGCTGGATGAGATGCAGAAAGCACTTGCTCAGATGCGAAACGGCAAGTGCGCCGCAGCCGACGGGATCCCGCCTGAAGGATTGTAACACGGTGGACGCGTATGTTAAATGCGCCGCGACACTTGGTGCAACACGTGTGGATTGAAGAGGATGTGTTGGCCGAGCTGTAGGATACCATTGTGCTACCACTATACAAAGACAAAGGGAGCCAATAATGTTGCACGAATTATCGTGGTGTGAGTTTGCTTAGTTGTGTGGAGACGGTGATCGCCCGGATCCTGCTCAACCGCCTCGTCACCCACGTCGTTAAACCGAACATAGCGGAAGAGCAATGTGGATTCTGTTTGGGCCGCAGCACCATAGATATGGTGTTCGTGGCTCCTCGGTTGCACCAGAAATGCAGAGAGCGACACCAGCCATTATATTCGTTCTTCACAAACTTCACCAAGCCATTTGATGCAGTAAACCGCTAGGCACTGTGGCTGGTGTTCATCATCATCATCAACAGCCGTACATCAGCCATTTGAACTGATGCTTCGCTGCCATACAACCATGAGGACCTATGAAATAAAGAATAAGAAGAGGGAGAGAAGGGGGACTTACCTGAAAACCTTAATGTCCGAGGCAAACATTCACAGCCAAGACGCCTACACCTTGTGTTAACAACATACCATCACAAACAGCTGGCTATCGTGCAAAGATAAGGTGGCATCGGCGAGATAGCTACCTTGCGGCTTTCACTGCCACGCGTCATAATCAGCCATTACCCCGCAGATAACTCAGCAGCAAACACACTTTAAACAGGCAACCTGATTATGAGACGGCAGCAGACGCGCCACTGGTGTCTACTGCGAGCCATCTCCTGTAAAGTCTCGAGCCAAGCAAAAGGCCAGTCACGTGGACTTCAGCCCGGAAGGCAGGACGGACCAACGGCACCCAGCTTGGTCGTCACTGACTTTGTTTCCCGCTGTCAACTCAACTTTTGTCCACCTCGAGCCTTGCGCCACCCTACACCTGGCAGACTAAACAAGGCCCTCCTAGGTAAGCGGTGACCAGGCATACGTAGCACGTGCCCGAGCCAACGCAACTTATTCAGTGCTATCTGTTGTTCTAGGGAGCTAGCATGATTAACACTAACTAGTACTCGCCCACACACATCATCGTTGCGGACACACTGGTGCCATCAGACACCGGCAATGGTCTGGCTTGCCGAACTACCTCTTCGTGGTGCCAGCTGGGTGGTTCGGATGTACCCCGTTCCAGCAAAGTGTTCGGCGGCAGTGTTCCACCTCGGTGGGGCATTGTATTCCAGCAATTTTGCTGATTTCATACGGATATTGGGCCGCTGTTTAGTGATCTACCAAACAAAGACGCATGAATTGAACATTCAGTCGACGCCTCTCAATGGGCACGATTCCCTGAATTCGCCCCGCTGCCATGCGAGTAGTTTATCTAGCCAAAGGCTCGGGGTAGAGTCCCCTAAGTCAACTCCATACTTCGGCTCGGGCAACCGTGTAATATCACGCCCTCTCACAAAACCATGGACTGTACTACAACATGCTCGTCAGCTACTGTTTCTGCTTCTCACATTCACGCGACTTCATCACACGCCAATTGTTCGTTTACTAACAATCCTCACTTTCCGTTACCCGATTCATGTGTTCAACAATCTGGCTGCGATTCCGGTTATGCCGCGGACCAAGGAGTTCAACCTATGGATCTCCTTCGTCCCCGATCCTCGTTCCGTCTGGCGTGCTTCAACGTTCGGACACTCATGCAGATTGGACAACATGACGGTTTAGCGCCCAACCTAGGGTCACTCGATATTGATGTCTGCTGCCTTTCAGAAACCCGGTTGCAAGACTGCAGCACTGTGCTTACCTTGACATCCCCCACTGACCACGAAGCCAGATATCACCTACGTCTTTCTGGAGATCCAGAAACAGTCTCAACGGGTTTGGCTGGTGTAGGTATAGCACTAAGTGGCAAGGCCGAGGCGGCACTACTGGACTGGTTCCCGATTAACAGCCGACTGTGTGTAGTTAGGCTTCGGGGCTCATGTAAAATCAGTATGCGCCACGAAGAGAGACGCAACTTGTTTGTGACTTCCTTGTACGCTCCAACTGACTGCATTGGCGGCTCGGTCAAGGACGAATTCTACTGGGATCTACATCAGCTCTTGATTAATGCTAAAAAGTCGGATGTCGTTATCCTTGCTGGAGATTTTAATGCACGGGTTGGCCGCCTGTTACCATACCAACGCCACCTTGGTGGTCATCACGCGCTCGATGAGAACCGCTCTGATAACGGAGAGACTTCTCAGATTGTGCGAAGACAATCGTCTGTTTCTCTCGAGCACTAACTTCAGGCGTACGAAGAAGCGTTTCACAACTTGGTGTCCCCCTTCGCCAACACATCCGTGGTCTCAAGTTGATCACATTACGATTAGCTTCAGATGGCGTTGCCGCCTACCAGACTGCAGGTCCCTTTGGTCCAGCTTTGTTGACTCAGATCATGCTCTGGTCTGCGCGAAAATCTGCATGAGTTTTGCGGGGTCCCGAATCACGAAGCACCGCAAAATTGATGTAGACAGATTAACTGGTTCCTCTGTCCAGGCGACCTATCAGTCTCCACTGGCATATGCGCTCAGTTGCAATCCACCGCAAGATGTGGAACAACACTGGACTCCTATACGGAAAGCGATGACCATTTCCGGACAGTCAAGCTGCGACCAAACTCGACGCTCCCTAAAGACTTGTATCTTTGCTCGTTCTCTGGAGCTGTTCGAACTCCGCAAATATATACCCGCGGAATCAGATTGCAACGAGCGACGCCGTTTTGCCAACCGGCTGCTCAAGCAAAGCCTACGCAAAGATCCCGAGACATGGTGGTCTGAGCGTGCTTTAGAGATGGAGACTGCTGCCCTCTCTGGCAACACTCGCAGGCTTTTCCAACTCATTCGGTCCACTGCCATCAGGAAGCTTGGTGTCAGTGAGGTCATTTGCGAAGTGGGTGAGTCTCCAATCACCAACCAACAGAGGCGTATGGACCGCTGGGCCGAGCACTTTCACTCGCAGTTCAACTAGCCTCCACCATCCATCAGTAAATGCAGTACATCTTGTTGTCCACCCTGGCTCGTCCCACTGAATCCACCCAGCGAAGCGGAAGTCTGCCTCGAGGTTCGACGCTTGAAGCGCTTCAAGGCTGCCGGCTCAGACGGACTTCCTCTGAAACCGTTCAAGTGCGGCGGCCTGACGATCATTAACCAGCTGACCCCACTGTTTGCAAAAATCTGGCATGAAGAGAAAGTGCCTTCCTCTTAGGGCTAATCAGTTATTGTCACGATTTTCAAGAAAGGCGCTCGCACTTCGTGTAGAAATCATCGCGGGATCAGTTATTTCGGTTGTCTCCAAATTATTGGCATCCATTCTGCTTCGCAGACTATCCCCAATACGAGAATCGTACTTCCGTGAAGAACAAGCTGGTTTCCGTCCCGGCTCCGAATGCGTGGATCAAATCTTCACGTTTCGCCGGCTCCTCGAATATCGCCACTTTTATCACAGGCCCACTATCATTGCATTCCTAGACATACGTGCCGCTTTTGACTCCTTTGATCGACCTGCTTTATGGCGTTACTTCGTAAAGAACGAGATGCCAGAGAAATATACCGCCATCTTACGAGCACTTTACCTTCATACATCCGGTAGAATGAGGGTCTATTACGAGCCTTTCTCGCAATTCGCTATCAATAGGGGTG